AGGTTTCATTACATTTCATTACAGGGCAGCTTGGGTGTAAGGGAATTTAAACAGATTTTTTAAAACTATTTTTTGTCATTTTATAGAGCAAGCGATTAATTAATTAGTAAAAAATAAATAGAAATAAACATGATAATAATGATAATTTAATGATTTTTGTTGCAGCTCTATACACTCAAAGTTATTTGCCTTCATTTCAAAGAAATCTAGTTTAATTTGGCTAAGAAATAATGCAAACTAATGTGACAAAAGAGGAAATAAGGTAAAAATACTCTTATCAGATTAGCTCTCTAGTGACTAATAACTAACCCACCCATGTTTTGAAGACCCTATCAGCATATACAAACACAATCTCTAGTTCTTGTGTCCTGTGTTGATGGTGCTGGTCTGGAAACCTGCACACTCCCCTTGTTGTGGTCAAGCTTTAAAGTGTTAATGACGCATACGCTCAGAGGGAGACAGTGTGTAAACATACACACATGCAAACCTTTAGTGCATGAAAGAAGCTTGTGGCACAGAGTAAAGGCCATGAGATGCTCTGATGATGTAATTGTTTGTGGTCTAAACAAACAAGCTCATGACTCTCCAGTTGTATGAAACTACGAGCCAGCTTTATATCAGTACGTCTACTTCGAGGATCTGGCCACAGGTGACGTTATGCAGGAGTTAATGAATAACCTGGATGGTATTACATCAGCGCTGGTTGCCCTCCAGTTGCTCTCTTTGTGTTTGCCTCTCTCCCTGATGTCTGATATGGCATTATTGAGCTGTCCCATCATGCTTAGCTCACAGTTTTTTTGTATGAGGGGCCTATGGATATGTCTGCGTGGATTATCTGTTTTATGGACCTAAAGTTACTTCCTCAACTTTTTTTTATTGAACTATTACAAAGATGCTTTTTATTATCAGTCTTTTGTTATCAGCTGTAAAGAGAGTAACAGTAAAGTCTGTTGATGATTTGTGAGACCGTGCTCTACTTGACAAGTCAGGGGGAAATCTGTGGGATTTCCTCCTCCTTTCTTGTTTGAAAACAACTTATTGCCGTCTGTTTTCAGCAAATATGCCTCTAAATCTGTAGCTAACAGATATATTGATCATCAGTTCAGCTTGTTGGGTAGTGTATGATTAATGATTTAATCAGTTACTCTTAAAAAAGTCAATAAGTAAAATGTATCACACCTGTTTTTGTTTGATTTTGAAGGGCAGGTTAGACGTGAGAATGTCAACATTAAGCTTGCTTCATACTGTTCCTGTGGTCAGTTTTAATACATGTGTATGCTCTGTATAAACACAGGTTTGTTATGTACCCTAGCATTCATGGTTGTCATGCTATTAGTGACACACAACTGACAATTTCAGTACTTTGGAAGCACTGTAGGCAAATTCAGATATTCAAATTCCCCAACTAGATAAAAAAAATCCTTCAAAATGGACCAGTTGATCCAGTTCTTCTGCCCTCAGCCAGTAGTCGAGGTGTAGCTGCATTGCTTCAACTTTGAGGAGGTGCACAACCTTGTCCGCCTACATCTTTTATCCACATGCAGCTGCACATTCTCTATGTTTTTTGGAGAAGTGATCAGAAGGATGTTGTTTTTCAAGAAAAGATGCTAAATATGCTGTCTCAGACGTGTGCCGGACCTAATCTCAGAGTTATTATTAATCAGCAACTTGTAGACTGCCTCACTGTAAAATCTCATCCTTTTGTTATTTAAGGGGGAAACACCATAACTTGTGTAATGTGCAGCTCAAGTTGAGAAAGTGCATGTAGCACTGTCAGTTTTAGCTCTCGCCCCTCTTGTATCCTGATCTAGCGTCAGCACCAGTAGCATCCCATCACAATCACCCTCCCCGTGCCCCCTGCTCACCCCAACCGGGCTGTTTCTATGGCAACAACAGAATCTGCTCCGGGCCTGTATGCACTGCCTCTGTCTCTTCACTTTCTCTCCTCTCGGCTTGTTTTCCTCCGTTCAGCCAGAGCCTCTCAGCAAGCTCCTGGCTGCTGCCTATTTTAGTTTGAGGAGCTTGTTTGTTTTTCGCTCCTTATTGTTCTTGCCTGGATGCAAGATGGAGGAGGAAACAAGGTTTTGCATAAGGGGTTGGGTTGTGGTTGTTATGCTGAGTAAGCATACTGAGGTTTGTACTCCATCTCTGGATCATTCAGTGTCCTTTTTCTCCCTCTTTCCATATTCTGATATTCCCTTTCTCTATCTGTCTCTCTGTTTCCTTTACTTCCTCATGTCATCTCCTCTCTTCATTCCCCTTATTGTCCACACAAACAAGGCCCACTGAGAGCGAGGTTACCGTCGGATGATTGTCTAGCGGCGCAGAAAGGTGCAGAGTGCACCAGTCTCTCCCTCTCTGCTACCGCCACACATGTAAACCTGCACAGTCCTCCCCTCCCCGTCCCCGTGCGTCGCACAAGAGCAAGAAAGAGAGTGATAGAGGAGGAAGGAGGGATTCAGAGAGAAAAAGTGAGAGGCTGGGCGGGTGGGAGAGCAGTCGCCATTAGACATATGCAGTGTCAGATGCTGTGCTCAGCAGCAGGGAGACAGAAAAAGAGGGAGAAAGATTCAACCCCCTGGAAGCTGTGTTGTTAGCTCCTCGGCTAACGGGCTCCGCACCATATAAGGTATGGTATAACAGGTGATGGGGCAGGTCGTAATGTGGCAGGGGTTGTTTGTGGTAAGGGAGCGCTGGCATTGCAGCTACGCTTAGTATTTCTGCAGAATGTCTGCTGGGGTGCACATCATAGGAAAAGTAGGGAAATGTCACTATGTCAGTATGCTGGTGTCCGGCATCGCTGCAGGTCACAACATTGTGCTGTGCTTAAAGAATGAATGCAGAAATCCACATTCAGTCATCACCACGACACAGACAGATTAGATTAACTGGATTAGAAGTATTTGTCTGTGTTGCTAAGATGCTGCATTATGTTTGTGCACAGTACTGTGTGTACCACATTCATACATCACTGACTGACTCGACTAACGTATATATATTTTATATAACCAAGACTTGTGTGTTCTGGCTTGTTTGTGTCTGCACATGCCTTTAGTGTTACAGTAGCTACTTTCTGATACAGCAGCTGTTTGGCTGTGTTTACAGTGCAGGCAGTTGTTACTGTCTATCTAGATTTTCTTCCATGTTCCTGTGCTGCTGTGCTTGCATCAGGCAGGTTGCCAGGCAGCATCAGCATGTGTACATCTATGTTCAGGCTTGGCCAGCAGCCTATAGGAGACATGTGATTATCTATTATACATTCACCTCTTTACGGGTTTGGTGCAGTCGTCTGCAGGTTAGTTTATGAGATATTAGCGAGTTCTCCTCTCCTTTAAGCAATGTCTTTTTCTTCATCTCTTTTCTCTTTGCTTCATCTTCACAATTGTCCCCTCCCTTACCTTGAGCTGGCTGAGTTGCTAGGCTGGAGAGATCCTCACTGAAAAACATTCTTTGTTACCTCAACCCTCCTCTCTCCCTCCCTCCGCGGCAGTGGTGTCAGAACAGAGGTGAAAAGTTGCAGAGCAGAGCCGCCTGGACGTCTTCCCACACGACACTACTGGTCAGGAGACCCAGTTTCTCCACATCTCCTCTCTCTCAGTCTCTGTTTTTCTCGCCCACCTTCTCAGCTCTGCTCGGTTGTGCAAAAGGTTTTTCTTTTTCTGCTTCACGTAGACAGTTCTCTTCTGGTTCTTGGCGCCTACATGAAGCGATTATTATTGTTTTTTGCTTCTTTTCCCCCTATCATTTCCCCTCTTTCTTTATGAAGTGGACATGGGTGTTGCTGATATGATTAATTTCATAGTGGGATAGTGTGAAGTGAGGCTTTTCTGCTTTTCTGCTTTATCTCCCTCCACTATCTGTCGTACTCTCCCTTTCCAACCAAGGTTTAAACCTCCATTTAGGCTTAGGGGTAAATGAGAGGAGGCCCATTTATTTTTCATGACACCCGCGTGCCTGTAGATGAATAAAACAACATGACTGCATTCACATTTTGACCTTCTCACTTGTCGTATGACACCTGCTTGACCAAGGAAGTGGTCCTGAGCCTACACAGGGTTTTTATTCACATGTTCTCTCAAACAAATGGCACTGTGGTTTTTGCATAAGTCATATGTAGCCTCGCACACTTTCTCTCTCACACACATGCTGTCATTGATCTTCCCTGATAAATAGTTGCGTGTGTGTGTGTCTCACCTTAAATGTACAAGCGCTGTGGTGAACGTGAGCAGGGAGGAGAACAGAGTGATTATTAGTGATAGATCGGAGGAGGCAGTTCATCAAGTTTATGGACGGCTCTCTGGAACACACACACTCACATTCACACACTCATTCACACGTACACATACACAGGATGTCACACAGGCTGTTTGCCTGTGTCCAGACCTGCTCTCTGAATTCCCCTGGCTTAATTTATCTCACGCCCTCAGTTTCCTGTTTCATGAGCTACCACACAAGAGACCCCTCGATCAACAACAACCAACCTTCACACACACTTAATACAGACACGCACACACCCACATTTTATTATTGTGCATGTCTAAGTTAAGTCTTTGGCTTGGTGTTTGGATGTGTGATATTCCGTCAGATCTCAGGACTGATAAATCCCAGCGGATGATCCGGTTGGCTTTTAAGCCTTTAAATAACTTTTATATTCATGTTCAGCATTGAGGCTATTTTTAATATTCAAGGTGCTCAAAGTCTGCCAATAAAAGATAATACAAATGCACAAAAATACAATGTGCACTTCACTGTGGTTTAGAAATGAATGCATCATTGTCATTGTCGCTTTGTAGCAGTGAGTGCTTTTATTTGTTGCACCCGCATGAGTGGTTTGAAGCTCTGGACGAGAGGTGATCATGCCCTTGATGTCTGATCAACAGCATCTCAAAGCTGACAGTGGCAGTTCTGAATGTCACTGCTGGCCAATAATAGCAATGAAATAAACCACTGAATGTCTTTTGTAACTTACAAAACTTCTCTCTTTGCCTCTTCTTTTTCAGGCAGCATGGATCTCTCAGCGCCTGCTCCGTTGGTAGCCCTCCTCCGCTGACATCCCCTCCACCTCCTTCTCCCCATTTCTTCCTCCACCTTTCCCTCTCTCATCAACCCCTCTTCCTCCACACCCCATCTCTGACTACCTCACAATCTGTGACCACTCCGCCCCTCCTACATCATGGCAGGGGAGAAAGGGCCGACTAAGCGAAGCGCCATGGACATCAAGCGCCTGGCCAGCCTCATCCAGAGAGGAACGGGCCGTTTGCTGGTGATTGACAGCCGGACGTTTTCTGAGTACAATGCGTCACATGTGCAAGGTGCGGTCAACGTCTGCTGCTCCAAGCTGGTGAAGAGGCGACTGCAGCAGGACAAGGTGTCTGTCACTGAGCTGCTGCAACCCAATGGCAAGGTGAAGGTGAGTTAAAGCTCAGCAGACCTGACAGTTGATGCTTTTTGGATGGTAGGATGTGCCAGACTGGATTCAAAGTGTCTGTGTGGCAAGCTTCCACCTTGCTGATAAGGGCAAGACATTGAATCCCCACCAAGTTAATAATTCAGCACATAATACCTGTAAAATGGCAAATTGTGGTAATTACGCTTAGCTTTTTATATAAATTAAGCAATCAAAATATGATGTGTTAATTAGTGATCTTTAAAGGAGCTAGTAGGCAGATTTTGTTGCCTGTGAACAGAGCCAGGCTAACTGTTTCCCCACGTTTACAGGCTTTCTGCTAATCTAAGCCAACTGGTTGCTGGTTGTAGCCTTATATTGATCGTACAGACATGAGAGTGATATCAATATTCTCATGTAACTCCCCATCAGAATGCAAGTTCTGTACTGTATTGGTGTATTTCCCCAAATTCTGTTCAGTTCAGCAGGATTTTGTGGATTTCCTGACTCAATTCAAGTTTTTTATGTAGTTCTTTGTGTGTTTAGTAAATTCCCTTATCCATAGACCCAACAAAATCTGATTATTTGACTTAAAAAGATGCATGGACACTAAGTAGACTTTTGGGATTTACAGGATTTCTGTGTGGCATACAAAGAAAAACCTAGTGACTATTCTTGCAAATGAGGGTTGGGAGTTGAAATGGTGCATTTACAGTGCAGTGCATCGGGACAAGTCGGCATAATCTTGCTCATTTTGGGAGAATCAGCACAGGAATGCAAAACATGAATACAGCAGGGACTCTTGTGACAAAATATGCTGTATATCCTGAGCCGCAGGAAATATGTTTGTCTACAGCTCTATGTTCAAGGGTTAAAGTTTAGGCTATACTCTTTACTATGATTAAAAAAGCAATGTTGTGTGAGTCACATATGTAATAGAGGGAAACAAACACAGACTGTTTGTGTTCCTTGTTATACAGAGATACAGTAGATGCAACACGTTGAGATAGTCAGGGCAAAGACCTTGAACCGGAGGTTCCCATGTCAACAATTGTTTACCCTGCTGAAATGTCCTTGAGCAAGACACTGAGTCCCTTACATCTCCATGGGTTTCTTAGAACATTTCCAACATCCTGACCCATGTGCTACTGTGGTTTTAGATTGGCCTCCTCTGTGCTAGTCCAAGCCTGCACCACATTGGGGGGGGTGCTATATTTGGCAGGCAGGCGGGCATACTGTAGGTTTGTTGCTTATCAGTGGCCCTGAAATCGGATCCTCGCGTTTTCCATGACTTCTCCTACGAATATGACAGCCTTTTTTCCATAGCCTGTCCACCCGTGGCACGCTGTCTCCAGTATTTTTAGTCGCTGTGTGAAACTGAAGGAACTCTGGGAGGGGAAACCTAAGCAGAGACTGGGGGGGAAGTTTGTGTGTTTTATGTGTGGGATCTGTTTTGTGCTCTCATGTAGTTGGCGTGTGCACACATCACCCAACAGTTTTATGCAACAAGACAAACACATTGATGAATTTCCTCTTCTTGGTTTGTTATTTTTAAGTTGTTTGTTTAATGTTTAACCATGTTACACCCAATGCAATAAAATGCAGATTCAGAGATGCCGATGACACATAACAGGTGATTGAAATTTCTTTCCAAGGTGTGACACATTGGGTTTTAATGGCAGTCCATAAAATGCTGGTGCTTTGGTTTTTGTTGCTATACTTCCTGGTTGGCAGGAGCAAGTCTTAGAGTCTGACCTGCAACGCGTCAGTTGAACCTACTTATGAATGTGATTTATTACCTGCTCCCATTTCATGCCCCATAGATACTGTCCTGGAGTTCTGGCAAACAAACTGACTCAGTATTTCCATTTTGTACACAGATAGAGAACTTTAATCACCAAAAATATGCCCTTCCCACCAAACGACAAATAATTATAGATTATTGCTTTGCCGCTCCTGTTGGATTACAGTTAACGCTTGTAGGTGACTGACACTTTCCTTATGGTCAGTTGGTAAAATAGAGGAGAACTGTGGATTATTGTTACTTTCCCAAGTGAAATGACCTTTAGTTCAGCTAATAGCGTCAGTATAATTGGTACATTGGCAGAGAGGCACCATGCGCCGACTGTTTCGCACTGACTCTCTGTTATACCAATTAGTTTTAATTCAGCTTTATTGCAAGGGGTTCTGGCAGTGAAAGCCACATGCCTTTCTTCTCACTCAAAATGTACCACTATTAACTGGACATGGATCGTATACAACACCTCTTGTATTAGTGCATTCTGCCAGTTTTACATGTACCTGGATACAAAAGAAGCTGCTCAGCCTGAAGGCCACACGCGAGATCCTGCATCTCATGACTCATCCCAACCAGAGATCCAATTTTGCACAAATAATGGTTTTATTTTGGGTTGTGATGATGCATGACCTACTCTTCCAGTCTATAGAAAACAGAAGAAAAAAAAAAACAGGAACAAAAGAAAACCTGGAGCTGCAGGGCTGCTGTGTGAGAGGTTTTGGATCCAGTCAGACTTTGAGTTTCATTACTTTAGTCAGTGCAGCAAGCTTGAGTGTGTCTATGTGCTGGGTCTATTGGGTCCATCTCTGTGTGGGGCCCTGTGGTTGGCAGGTCTCACACTGTGGCACCCCATAGTGCCATGCTTCCTCCTGAATTCTCTCACTTTCAATTTCATGACAGATCTGTCTGTCCGTCTCCCACAACCATAGCTTGCAGCTTCCTTCATCATTTATTTTACCTCTCCGCCTCCTCTCCCTATCTGGTGTTGCCCCATGGCTGGTTTGTTATTATCCATTCCCCACCCCCAGTAAAGAGGATAAGGCTTGCGATTAATGCTAGGCTGGATAAAGCTGGAACTAGCCGTGTGAGAGAGGAGGGCCCGACGGACCCAGACTCTTTTGTTATTGGCTAAGCATGACATCATCCCTTTTGTGCGGCCACTGGCAGGCCGCGGGCTGGGCACGTGCAGACTGGCTGTGTGGTGTTAAAGCCGGCTCCCAGCTAACCCCTAACACACACACGCACACACACACAAACGCCATCCTCTCTACCCCCCACATGGCTCTGAGCATCGCCAGGAGCCGCTTCAGCCAGCCAAGACAGCAAAGGACACCATTGTAGCTCTTTGTTGGGGAAGTGAATGCAGGAAGCGGGAGAGCAGCACTGAGGGTATTCATGGATGGGTGCTGCCTCCGCCTCCTCCCTGGCTGCCTCCCGCCTCACATCCCATTGAGCACTAATAGCCTGCATCCCCCAAGGCGCTGCTGTACTCACCCTCTTTCATAGAAGCTACCAACGCTTCAGTTAACTGAGCTGAATGAACATCCATGACCAGCACAGGAGCAATCAAAATGGTGTCCTCTTTCTTCTCCCTTTCACATCCCATCCCTTCATAACCTCTTTGTTTATGCTCTCTATTAATGTAGGTCAGAGGGAGCTGGATACAGTAGGTTAGGTGGTGGTGGACCTCTGCTGGGAAAGGGATGGCACCGGCTTAGTTGGGAATGGGGCTTCCTCGTGCCTTTTCTGACAGGCTGGAGGGCAGGCGGCTGGTTTCTTGGCTTAAGCCTGGTTAATCCCTGCTGCTGTGGCGGGGACAGCCGGCCAGGCAGGCCTGACAGATGGACCAGAGGTTTTCACTACCAGCAGCCAGCCTGGGGAAGCACCCTTCCTCCTGCATGCAGGCATGAAGACCAGACCTCGGATGAATGGGACCCACAGTAGTAGAGAGGAGCCTACTCATAGAGACAGACGTTACTCTTACAAGCTGTCAATGGAACTTAAATATTTATAACCACAGGCATGTTTCAAGTCTTAGAAGTCTTAGTTTTTAGTTTTTGTGGCAGAGGATTTAAACAGAGCCATACATTTGCTTGTGATTTGACATTTTTGGTGTAAACTTGAAAATCCACTAGGTCAGCATACTGACCTATTTAAGTGGATCAGGTATCAGCCAGATGTGACCAATCCACATTAAAAACTCCTTTTTTCCCCCGTCAGTGTCCTTGTAAAATTCACTGATTAAAGTGAGTTCCACGTAGTGTGGTATACGTTTATATATCATATTTAAATTTATATGTTTTGGGGAAAGTGTATTGGATCTGTGTATTGAATCAGTGCTGCATAGAAAATGTGTTGCTTTCCTATTTTGTAGCTGTGGAGTGATCTTTTCGGCCACTAACTAACAAAATTAACTAATGATAGTGTTATTGGTGAACTTTAATGAATCATTAAGCCAGTCAATAAAAAATTTATTAAAAGGCAAATAATTTTACAATCATTTAGTCATTTCATGTTCTAAAGTTAATACTTTTGATTGATGTACTGCTGGCTGGATTGAACAAGCAAACTGAGAACATCTACAGAGGCTGAGTGAAATTGTTATGGGTATTTTAAACATTTTACTGTTCTGCTGTATGAACTAAAAGATTAAATAAAAAAGAAACAGCAGATTAAAAAAGATAATTGCTAATTTGCCAGTACTATCATACCTTTGTGACAGATGAATATCACTTATATAGTTAATTATTTGTGCTGTTGTTTACAGTAAAGTCCCATACACCTGTGATTACACTCTAATATGTCTTCAAGTGTTATATAGCAACATATTAGTCATGATAATGAACAGCAGCCCAATTATTGCTGTTTGCTATAATGGCCATGTAGCAGTAAAAAGAGCCAGGCGATGGGTCTGTGATCTTGTCTGTGATCTTAATTGGTAGGATTGGCTGAGTGCCCTGCTGCTTGCACAGGGGGAGCTATGCACGTGACCGACTAATGCATTTATGCAATGAAGACGATCTCCACCAGTTCCACTTGATGATGCACCATATGTTGTTTTGTTTATCCTCTTTGGGAGGGTGCTGGCTCTAATAATACATGATGCGAAAATCATGGATCCTTTTGGAGAATCAAGGACGAGTATTCCTGAGAAAAACGAACAAAGACAACATGATTCTGCCTGTTATTTAAGTGTCAGACACAGGGCAGAGACACTGGTAATGTC